TCATTATTCTCAAGTAACGTTCATCATAAGTAATGTTCATTATTCTCAAGTAACGTTCATCATAAGTAACGTTCATTATTCTCAAGTAACGTTCATCATAAGTAACGTTCATTATTCTCAAGTAACGTTCATAAGTAACGTTCATTATTCTCAAGTAACGTTCATCATAAGTAACGTTCATTATTCTCAAGTAACGTTCATCGTAAGTAACGTTCATTATTCTCAAGTAACGTTCATCATAAGTAACGTTCATTATTCTCAAGTAACGTTCATCATAAGTAACGTTCATTATTCTCAAGTAACGTTCATCATAAGTAACGTTCATTATTCTCAAGTAACGTTCATCAAAGTAACGTTCATTATTCTCAGTAACGTTCATCATAAGTAACGTTCATTATTCTCAAGTAACGTTCATAAGTAACGTTCATTATTCTCAAGTAACGTTCATCATAAGTAACGTTCATTATTCTCAAGTAACGTTCATCATAAGTAACGTTCATTATTCTCAAGTAACGTTCATCATAAGTAACGTTCATTATTCTCAAGTAACGTTCATCATAAGTAACGTTCATTATAAGTAACGTTCATTATTCTCAAGTAACGTTCATCATAAGTAACGTTCATTATTCTCAAGTAACGTTCATCATAAGTAACGTTCATTATAAGTAACGTTCATTATTCTCAAGTAACGTTAATCATAAGTAACGTTCATTATTCTCAAGTAACGTTCATCATAAGTAACGTTCATTATAAGTAACGTTCATTATTCTCAAGTAACGTTCATCATAAGTAACGTTCATTATACAAATTTTTATGTTAAATATCACAGGATATAATTTAAATTATTTATTGTTATTCGTAATATTTATTTTTTCTTTACAGATGAGATCCAGTTGTTAAGAGTTGAACCATGTGAGGCAGACTAGTTCACTGTACCGCTGGTCGTTAACGTGTAAAGTACTGTACCGCTGGTCGTTAACGTGTAAGGTACTGTACCGCTGGTCGTTAAAGTGTAAGGTACTGTACCTAATTATTTATTGATTTAAGGTATTTTGTTTTGTAGTGAATTTAATTGTTCATTTGATCTTTGTAATTGTAGGGCGGTCAATCAGACTGTTGTCAAGTACTGGGCATGTACTGGCTCTCTGTTACACACTGTTATCAAGTACTGGGCATGTACTGGCTCTCTGTTACACACTGTTGTCAAGTACTGGGCATGTACTGGCTCTCTGTTACACACTGTTGTCAAGTACTGGGCATGTACTGGCTCTCTGTTACACACTGTTGTCAAGTACTGGGCATGTACTGGCTCTCTGTTACACACTGTTGTCAAGTACTGGGCTGTACTGGCTCTCTGTTACACACTGTTGGCATGTACTGGGCATGTACTGGCTCTCTGTTACACACTGTTTGTCAAGTACTGGGCATGTGCTGGCTCTCTGTTACACACTGTTGTCAAGTACTACAGGAATGCACTGGCTCTCTGTTACACACTGTTGTCAAGTACTGGGCATGTACTGGCTCTCTGTTACACTGTTGGCAAGTACTGGGCATGTACTGGCTCTCTACTACACTGTTGGCAAGTACTGGGCATGTACTGGCTCTCTATTACACTGTTGGTAAGTACTGGGTATGTACTGGCTCTCTATTACACTGTTGGTAAGTACTGGGCATGTACTGGCTCTCTATTACACTGTTGGTAAGTACTGAGCATGTACTGGCTCTCTATTACACTGTTGGTAAGTACTGGGTATGTACTGGCTCTCTATTACACTGTTGGCAAGTACTGGGCATGTACTGGCTCTCTATTACACTGTTGGTAAGTACTGGGCATGTACTGGCTCTCTATTACACTGTTATCAAGTACTGGGTATGTACTGTCTCTATTACACACTGTTGTAAGTACTGGGCATGTACTGACTCTCTGTACACTGTTGTCAAGTACTGGGCATGTACTGGCTCCTCTGTTACACACTGTTGGCAGAGTACTGAATGTACTGTCTCTGTTACACTGTTATCAAATTACTGGGCATATGCACAGCTCTCTATTTTTACACTGTTGGTAAGTACTGGGCATGTACTGGTTCTCTGTTACACACTGTTGGTAAGTACTGGGCATGTACTGGTTCTCTGTTACACACTGTTGGTAAGTACTGGGCATGTACTGGCTCTCTGTTACACACTGTTGGTAAGTACTGGGCATGTACTGGCTCTCTGTTACACACTGTTGGCAAGTACTGGGCATGTACTGCTTCTCTGTTACACACTGTTGGTAAGTACTGGGCATGTACTGGCTCTCTGTTACACACTGTTGGTAAGTACTGGGCATGTACTGCTTCTCTGTTACACACTGTTGGCAAGTACTGGGCATGTACTGCTTCTCTGTTACACACTGTTGGTAAGTACTGGGCATGTACTGGCTCTCTGTTACACACTGTTGGTAAGTACTGGGCATGTACTGGCTCTCTGTTACACACTGTTGGCAAGTACTGCATGTACTGGCTCTCTCACACACTGTTGACAAGTACTGCATGTACTGGCTCTCTGTTACACACTGTTGTCATACTGCATAAAATCAGCTCTGTTACACACTGTTGGTAAGTACTGGGTATGTACTGGCTCTCTGTTACACACTGCTGGTGCACTGGGCATGTACTGGCTCTCTGTCACACACTGCTGACAAGCACTGGGCATGTACTGGCTCTGTCACACCACTGTTGTCAAGCATCAAGTATGTACTGGCTCTCTGTTACACACTGTTATCAAGTACTGGGCATGTACTGGCTCTCTGTTACACACTGTTGGCAAGTACTGCATGTATCATTTCTTGTTACACACTGTTGTCAAGTACTGCATGTACTGGCTCTCTGTTACACACTGTTGTCAAGTACTGGGCATGTACTGGCCTCTGTTACACACCGTTATCAAGCACTGGGCATGTACTGCCCCTTGTTACACACTGTTGGCAAGTACTGCATGTACTGGCTCTGTTACACACTGTTGTCAAGTACTGCATGTACTGGCTCTCTGTTACACACTGTTGTCAAGCACTGGGCATGTAATTGCTCTCTGTTACACACACTGTTGGCAAGTACTGGGCATGTACTGGCCTCTGTTACACACTGTTGTCAAGTACTGCATGTACTTGGCTCTCTGTTACACACTGTTATCAAGTACTGGGCATGTACTGGCTCTTCTGTTACACACTGCTGTCAAGTACTGGGCATGTACTGGCTCTCTGTTACACACTGCTGGCAAGTACTGGGCATGTACTGGCTCTCTCTGTTACACACTGTTGGTAAGTACTGGGCATGTACTGGCTCTCTGTTACACACACTGCTGTCAAGTATCAGCATGTACTGGCTCTCTGTTACACACTGCTGGCAAGCACTGGGCATGTACTGGCTCTCTGTTACACACTGTTATCAAGCACTAGTATGTACTGGCTCTCTGTTACACACTGTTGGCAAGTACTGGGCATGCAATTGGCTCTCTGTTACACACTGTCAAGTACTGTAAGTATGTACTGGCTCTCTGTTACACACCGTATAAGTACTGGGCATGTGTACTGCTTCTCTGTTACACACTGTTATCAAGTACTGCATGTACTGGTTTCTGTTACACACACTGTTGCTGGCACTGGGCATGTACTGGCTCTCATTACACACTGTTGTCATACTGGGTATACTGGTTTCTGTTACACACTGTTGGCAGTACTGGCATGTACTGGCTCTCTGTTACACACTGTTGGTAAGTACTGGGCATGTACTGGCTCTCTGTTACACACTGTTGTCAAGTACTGGGCATGTACTGGCTCTCTGTTACACACTGTTGGCAAGTACTGCTAAGGTACTGGCTCTCTGTTACACACTGTTGTCAAGTACTGGGCATGTACTGGCTCTCTGTTACACACACTGTTGGCAAGTACTGCATGTACTGCCTCTGTTTACATTAATTGTTGCTCAAGCATTGGCATGTACTGGTTTGTTACACAATGTTGGACAAGTACTCAGTATGTACTGGCTCTCTGTTACACACTGTTGGTAAGTACTGGGCATGTACTGGCTCTCTGTTACACACTGTTGGCAAGTACTGGGCATGTACTGCTTCTCTGTTACACACTGTTGGTAAGTACTGGGCATGTACTGGCTCTCTGTTACACACTGTTGGTAAGTACTGGGCATGTACTGCTTCTCTGTTACACACTGTTGGCAAGTACTGGGCATGTACTGCTTCTCTGTTACACACTGTTGGTAAGTACTGGGCATGTACTGGCTCTCTGTTACACACTGTTGGTAAGTACTGGGCATGTACTGGCTCTCTGTTACACACTGTTGGCAAGTACTGGGCATGTACTGGCTCTCTACACACTGTTGTACTGTTGGCTCTCTGTTACAGTACTGGGCATGTACTGGCTCTCTGTTACACACTGTTAGCAAGTACTGGGCATGTACTGGCTCTCTGTTACACTGTTGGCAAGTACTGGGCATGTACTGGCTCTCTGTTACACACTGTTATCAAGTACTGGGCATGTACTGGCTCTCTCTTACAATATATTTTAAAAGTTAATTGAATTTATTATAGATATAAGATAAAATATTATGTGTAATAATTAAAATAAATTAGTATAAAGGAAAAAACTTTATTTAAATGATGAAAAACCAGAATTTATTGATTCAAATTTGGCGCCAAAACTGATGACCTGTATTTCTGTAGAATAACTTGGTATTTAAATATTTATTCATATTTATTCTATAATACAATAGATAAAATACATAAATTAAAACAAAATAATAAATAATTAAATAATAAACCAAAATAAACCAAATAAAATTACGATTAACAAATAAAAAGAATTAAAATCCCAAATAAATAAAAATAAAACTCAAATAAACAAAATTAAAAACCCCAAATAAACAAAACCCAAATAACTAAAATAAAACAATAAAAAAACCCAATAAAAAAACCTAAATTAAATAAAAATAAAATAAACTTAGTAATTATTAAGAAATTCATAGAGACTCAGCTGGGACAACAAGGCGACATTAACCACAAATAACCTGAATATTAAGGTATTTTAACCTCTATTACGGCTATATTAACCCACTAACTACCCAATAACTATCAATATAAGGTAATTACTCTCTATTAACTACACCTGACACTATATATAACTGTTAATTAATAAATATAGAGGTATGATATATCTCTTGTGTATTTAAGTAATATTTAGGGTATTTTAGGGGTATTTTAGGGGTATTTTATCTATTTTTTAGGTATAATAGACTTAAAATAGTCACTAGGGTATTAATAACCATATAGTAGATGTGTAATATAGTGTCATTATTAATCTCGTATATGACTTTTTTTTGATATATTTCATCTATGTTTCTTAATTAATTATATTTTAAGATATTATTGATTGTATTTTGTCTATATTAATTACCCCAGACTATTAATGAGCTCTAATTACTATAGAGGTGATATTTATTGATGGTATTTTGGTTAATATTTCCAGAGTTAACAATAGTTTTAATATACTTTTTTATTAAGGAAATTAGTGTATAAATTAATCTTTTCTGTACAGTTTTCATTAATAATTATCATTAGTTAATTTGAAATCATTCCTTGTTAATCTCAGGTGATCCAGAAGTTGATTAAAATTACTTTTCTTTAATTTATCGTAAAGTAAATCAAAATAAAAGTTGCCGCTATGATTAAAATTTTATTCATTCTTTAATTTAAATTGAAGAGTAAAAAAAAATATCTTGAACGATAAATTGTTGACGGAAACTCTGTAAAGTTGTTATTATTGTGACTCGTAAGACGCCCCATAGTAACGCTTCTCTCCTTAATTAATCTTCAAGTCTTTATCTTAACTTATTGTGTCTTAGTGAATGTCTAGCCATATGGGTAAGATTAGGTTTGGTTAGGTTAGGTAAAAATTGGTTAGATTTGGTTTGGTTAGGTTAGGTAAGAATTGGTTAGACTTGGTTTGGTTAGGTTAGGTAAGAATTGGTTAGATTTGGTTAGGTTAGAATTGGTTATGCTTGGTTAAGGTCTGTATGTACTTTTATCTGTGTGTGTGTATGTAATAATAATAATAATAATAATAATAATTAACGGTTTATTGAAAGAGCTTGGCAGCCAGAAGGTGAAAATATACAGTTACATATTTGGGGAATGGGTTATGAATTACAAATAATATACAAGTAACATAAGTGACACAAATAAGACATATAGTAACTAGATGGGGAAAAGCTCAAACTACAGTTCATTTCAACATAGTGACAGTGCAGGAAGTAGTGTTTACTGGGAGTGAATACACTGGTTTATTACAAGTTATTGATAATTTTTACAATGGTTGGGACTGGGCTGTTCTTATAGCGATCAGTTCGTGCACGTATGGGCTGGATGCGGTTGTGGTGTCGAACGGCAATTCTCGGACTAGGGATCTCAGGTGGTAGTAGGAGCCGGTGTCGAGGATGGTGTAGAAGCTTCTTACCAAATTTGCAGATGAGGTCGTGGTGATGGTCAGTGAGAGTCGAAAGGGTCAGTGTGTTGAGCGCTTCTTGATATGTGGAGTAGGAAGGGGAGAGAATAATCTTGCATGCCCTCTTTTGCACTTTTTCTAGGTGTTTACGTTGTGTGGCATTTAGGGAGGAAGACCAGGTGGGGGAGGCATAGGTGAGCTTGGGAAGTATGAATGTTGTGTATACACTGAGGAGCTCGTGTGCAGGAACTCCGAGGGACTTGAGTCGGCGGAGGAGGTGGAGACGGAAACTGGAGGATTTGACAACTTCACTGACGTGTGGTTTCCAATTTAGTTTGTTGTCTATGGTGACGCCGAGGAGCTTCGTGGAATCTACAACCTGGAGTGTGTTCGGACCTAAAGTAATGGAAGGAGGTGGGACAATGTCGGAGGAGAGGTTGATGTGCATAACCATGGTCTTGGTATGGTTGATGGTGACATGTGGGTGGCCCAGTTTTGGAGACTGTTCAATAAATCCTGAAGGGCGGTATAGTCGGGAGCAGAATTGTTGACGCTGATCCCAATGGTGGAGTCGTCGACATATTTCCAGCGAGCAGGGGTTTCTCTTAGGGCATCATTGATGAGCATAAGGAAGCAGAGTGGTCCCATCTTGGTGCCTTGGGGGACGCCACAGGTGAGTGACTGAAAGGTGGAGACAGCCCCTCGGAAGCGTACAGCTTGGCGTCGGTCACTGAGGAAGTCTGTAAGCCATGGTATAAGACTTCTCCGAAGCCCGAGGTCAATAGCTTTGCTGATGATTATATTGTGGTCGACTAGGTCGAATGCTTTAGTGAAATCAATGAAGGCGACAGCTACAGACGTTTTTCGTTTCTCGAGATGGCGGTATATGTAATCGAGAAAGCTGACAAGACAGTGAGTGGTGGAGGAAGTTTTCATGTTGCCAAATTGCTGAGGGTCTACGACTCCTGCAATATCAGCATAAGCCCAGTCAAACACAAAGCCTTCACAGATTAGGCTGGGTATTGGGGTGATTGCAATAGGTCGTAGCTGATTTAAGGATTGTGGGCTGGTTGACTTGGGCACTGGTGATACATAAGAGGTCTTCCAGTCAGCTGGGCATCTGTGTGTGTGTGTGTGTGTGTGTGTGTGTGTGTGTGTGTCTCTATCGGTGTGTGTGTAATAAATAATAATAATAATAATAAACAGTTTATTAATATAGTTGCAGCCGGTGGCATAAAATATACAGACTTACATTTGATTTAGACATAATGATATGCGTTGAATACATTTACAGGGCTGTACAGTACAGGAGTTGTTTTAGCAATGGGATGGTGTTGTTCTTATATCTATCAGTGCGGAGGGCTGCAGGTGGCGAGGATGGTGCAATAGTCCACGGCCAAACCTTGCCAGTGCTTGGTGGTGGAGGTCACTGAGGGATGGCATCTCTTGGGTGGAGAGAGCGCTGGTGTAGTATTCTGCGCCGAGCATGATTCTGCAGGCCCTTTTCTGTACCTTCTCTAGCTGACGTTGTTGGGTGGAGTTGAGAGAAGACGACCAGGCTGGTGACGCATACGTTAGTTTGGGGAGAATAAAGGCGTTGTAGATGGTCCTCGGCTCTGGCGTGGGTGTCCCAAGTGACCTGAGTCGTCGTAGAGACGGTACGAGGCTGCCTTGACTGTGTTATTTACATGGGCCTTCCAGTCCAGTTTGTGGTCTATAGTTACACCCAGGAGTTTGGCAGACTGCACCAGCTGGAGAGGATGGCACACACTGTGACTGCTGGGGCTTGAGTGGTGGCGATATTGATGTGCATGACTACGGTTTTGGTGTGGTTGATGGTGACCGTGTGTGGGTGTGGGTGTGGGTGTGGTTGGGTGTGTGTGGGTGTGTGTGGGTGTGGTTGTGTGTGTGTGTGTGGGGGTGTCTTAAAACCGAATCCATGACAAAACCCCAACAGGTTTCTACCGACCGAGCGACAGACAGACCAACAAAGCGACTGGGGTTTTGTCCGTAGGGGTTTTGTTCATAGGGGTTTTGTCCGTAGGGGTTTTGTCCGTAGGGGTTTTGTCCGTAGGGGTTTTGTCCGTAGGGGTTTTGTCCGTACACCCTTAAAATCGTATTCCAATATAACTCTTCACAAGATAACGTTCACACATGTTTGGCTAATCCCTAATTCTCTGAAAACTGAACTAGTCACGTCTAATTGCCATAAGTGTTTAAACGAGGTAGTTCTAATCCTTTACTGTATATAACTGGTCATGAACGAGTTGTTTCATAACTATTACTTACCATTTTTGGAAGCTTGAGGACGTTTTGATTGAGGAAGTTTATTTTACCTGATAATTAGACACCCTAGTTTATTTTACCTGGTGATTAGACACCCTAACCTAACCTACCGTAGTGATTGAACCAAGACCAGGTGACACAAGATATAGTTCCTCCCAGACCTGTAACCTTCCCAGATAGATGCAGTCACTAGAGCTATCATCTGTCACACCGTCTATACTGTGTTGACATCATGGTAAGGGGACGGGTGACTTGTTTATTTTTGTTGATGTGGGGATAGGTTAGAGTTTGGTTAGGATAGGTTGGGATAGGATAAGTTTGGGTCAGGATAGGTTAGGGTAGGTTAGGTTAGGTTAACGTGAGTGCTGATACAAAAACTCACATTATATTTATTACTCGTTGGTCTCTTGGTCACAACCAGTTGAATTTAACGCCACTTTATGTCACCTGACCCAGTGTATTGAGGTGTATCTGGTTACCCTTCTCCTGCTCTCCTTCCCCTTCCTCCCCCCTTCCTCCCCCTTCCTCCCCTCCTCCTCCTCCCCAATTATCTTACCTTACATTAATAACACAAACAATGACATAAATAGTTTGAGATAATCCACCAGATGGCGCTGACCCAATAGTCCTCAAGAGTCCGGTATGACTGAGTACCAAGAGGGACTGACCCGTAGTACCTTGTATAAGAGAAGCCTTACGTGTGTGTGTGTGTGTGTGTGTGTGTGTGTGTGTGTGTGTGTGTGTGTGTGTGTGTGGGGCCATTTTATGGGTATACATGATAATTTTAGTGAATCAATCTCTCTCTCTCTCTCTCTCTCTCTCTCTCTCTCTCTCTCTCATTTGGAGTGGGGTAGTGGAGGGAAGGAGGGGGGGTGGGGAGGTCGGGGGAGGGGGAGGGGTTAGTGGGGTTGGGTTGGAGTGTGGTGATGTAAGGTTGGGAATATTTATTTGAGAATGTGTTAGTTGGCAGCTGGTGAGGGAGAGAGGGAGGGAGGTGAGGGAGGGAGGGAGGGAGATATGTTGGAGAAAGAGGGAGGGAGGGCATGATAGCACCACCACCACCACCTCCACCACCACTACCACCACCACCACCACCACCAATGACATAGGTGTAAAATCGTCACCATAAGCTCAGTCTTGCTTCAACCTCAGTGAGTGAAACACCACACAGTGCCAATCAGAAAGGCTCGGTGCCAATCAGAAAGGCTCGGTGCCAATCAGAAAGGCTCGGTGCCAATCAGAAAGGCTCGGTGCCAATCAGAAAGGCTCGGTGCCAATCAGAAAGGCTCAGTGCCAATCAGAAAGGCTCGGTGCCAATCAGAAAGGCTCGGTGCCAATCAGAAAGGCTCAGTGCCAATCAGAAAGGCTCAGTGCCAATCAGAAAGGCTCAGTGCCAATCAGAAAGGCTCGGTGCCCAAGAATGTATAGAAGATTTATATTACGATTTTTATATAAACATTAATGTAGAACTTTATTAAATTTAACTAGTTTTAAAGATTTAATTAGGTTAGGTAAGATTAAATTAAGCTTAGGTTAAGGTACATTAGGTAAGATTAAGCTTAGGTTGGGTTAAGGTATATTAAGTAAGGTCAGATTAAATTAAGCTTAGGATAGGTTAAGTTAAGGTACATTAGGTAAGACTAAGCTTAGGTTAGGTTAAGGTACATTAGGTAAGACTAAGCTTAGGTTAGGTTAAGGTACATTAGGTAAGACTAAGCTTAGGTTAGGTTAAGGTACATTAGGTAAGGTAAGATTAAATTAAGCTTGAGTTAGGCTAGACTGTGTGTTATATTAAACCGTTAACAACAGTGGTCAGTGTCTCTGCTGATTTAAGCTTTATGTAATGTGATTAAAGTTTATCAGGAGTCAAGTGGGTGAGAGAGATAGCTAGCTGTTGATTAAGCACCCCCTCGCCCCCCCTCCCCCCCCCTCAAGCTTTATTTCACCTGATTAAGCACCCTTAACCCAACCTCCTCCCCCCCCCCAAATAGCATTAGGTTAGGGTGGTTAATCTTCAGGTGAAATAAGCTGGGTTAGGTTAAGCTGAGGGGGTGTTTAGTCAGGTGAAATAAGCTGGGTTAGGTTAAGCTGAAGGGGTGCTTAATCTTGAGGTGCCTGACAGGATGGTTCAGTGTGGTGCTGAGGAAATGAACCGTTGATATTGACGATAATTTATGAGGAAATAAGATTTGTTTATGAAATTATTATAGTTTGAAGGATGTGGTTAGGTTAGGTTAGAGTTGAGTAAGTCCATAATCTATTAATAATCTTTTAATAACAAGTGGAGGTTATTTACAAAGTTTGGGCGACCGGCCAAAGGGGACTGTCATGGCGTCTACAACAGTTAATACTATTTCTGTAACCAGTTTTTTTATCTTAACTCTAATAGACCACAACTGAGCCATAGTTTTGTAATTTACTGTATTAGTTTTAAAATACGACAGTGTGTGTGTGTGTGTGTGTGTGTGTAATTTGGTGTGTGTTTGTGTAATTTTAGTGTGTTTGTGTATGTATGTATAATTGTGTGTGTGTGTATACTGTGTATAAGTATGTATGTGTGTGTGTACAGCATGTGAGTGTGTGTGTGTGTATACTGTATATAAATAATAATAATAATTAAGGTTTATTGAGAAAGTTGTGCAGCCCAAAGGCTGAACATGTACATTGGACAAAAATGAATTATTACATACAAAGACATGGGGGGGTGGGTCGTTTAGCACAAGCTGTCATTACTGAAAGAAGAAGGAACAATTATTGAACATACAAATTATTATAGTTTACAGTTGATGGCCCGGGCCTGGGCTGGTCATGGAGACACCGGGTGGTGAGGTGTTCACGTGGTGTAGTAACTCGTCCTCGGGTGTTGATATGAAGGACCTCACATGGTCATGGAAACACCGGGTGGTGTGGTGTCACAGTACCTCGCTCTGCCACATGGTATTGTGTTATCTCATAGTCAGGTGTGAAGCAGACCCACTGTTGTTCCCAGGGTGGACTGATTAGCACCACCTGGTCGTAATATGGTGGTCAGTTCCCAGGGGTGCTTATCTCACTGGTGGGACACGGCTCTCACTGGTACTGTCTGGTGCTGAATTCACTGACTTAAACACTGTTCATCACTATTTAACACTGTTCATCACTGTTCATCACTGATTCCACTTTTATCCGAAACGAAATTATCACTTTTGAATATGTTAATATCCCGGTGGTGAGGATGGGTCGGGGAGAGGGGCCGAACATGGCCAAGGGGCAGCAGCACCTGGTAGGTCTTGGCCCTCTGGTGGTCAAGGATTTGTGTGTGTGTACAGCATGTGAGTGTGTATATACTGTATGTAAGTATGTGTACAGCATGTGTGTGTATGTATGTATAAATAATATCTAACCATTAATCATAAATATTGTACATATTGTGTGTTTATATCTTAAGTAATAATGTATATAATGTATATATTCTATTTCCAGCAGATGTATATATTTATTAATTTTTATACATTGTGCATAACCCCAATACTGTATAGTGAAGATTAGACACCCTAAGCTTATTCCACCTCAATATTAGACACCCTAAGCTTATTCCACCTCAATATTAGACACCCTAAGCTTATTCCACCTCAATATTAGACACCCTAAGCTTATTCCACCTCAATATTAGACACCCTAAGCTTATTTCCCCTCAATATTAGACACCCTAAGCTTATTCCACCTCAATATTAGACACCCTACTCTTATTCCACCTCAATATTAGACACCCTACTCTTATTCCACCTCAATATTAGACACCCTACTCTTATTCCACCTCAATATTAGACACCCTACTCTTATTCCACCTCAATATTAGACACCTAAACATTCCACCTCAATATTAGACACCCTAAGCTTATTCACCTCAGATTAGACACCCCAAGCTTATTCCACCTCAATAGACACCCTAAGCTTATTCCACACTCAATATTAGACACCCCAAACATTCACCTCAATATTAGACACCTAGAAAGCTTATTCACCTCAATAATAGACACCCTAAGCTTATTCACCTCAATATTAGACACCTAAGCTTATTCACCTCAATATTAGACACCCTACTCTTATTCCACCTCAATATTAGACACCCTACTCTTATTCCACCTCAATATTAGACACCCTACTCTTATTCCACCTCAATATTAGACACCCTAAGCTTATTCCACCTCAATATTAGACACCCTACTCTTATTCCACCTCAATATTAGACACCCTAAGCTTATTCCACCTCAATATTAGACACCCCAACCTTATTCCACCTCAATATTAGACACCCCAACCTTATTCCACCTCAATATTAGACACCCCAAGCTTATTCCACCTCAATATTAGACACCCTAAGCTTATTTCACCTCAATATTAGACACCCCAAAACATTCACCTCCAATATTAGACACCTAAGCATTCCACCTCAATATTAGACACCTAAGCATTTCACCTCAATAATAGACACCCTTAGCTTATTCACCTCAATATTAGACACCCCAAGCTTATTCCACCTCCCAATATTAGACACCTAAAGCATTCACCTCAATATTGAACACCTACTCTTATTCCACCTCAATATTAGACACCCTAAGCTTATTCCACCTCAATATTAGACACCCTAAGCTTATTCCACCTCAATATTAGACACCCTACTCTTATTCCACCTCAATATTAGACACCCTACTCTTATTCCACCTCAAGATTAGACACCCTAAGCTTATTCCACCTCAATATTAGACACCCTAAGCTTATTCCACCTCAATATTAGACACCCTAAGCTTATTTCACCGAGACGACATAACTAAACAGCATTATTCCTCTCCTACCACTAAGGGAGACGTTTCTAGCCATCAGATAAGATAGAGGTGTGTCTGTCTGTCAACTCAGTAGTGAAGAAGACGACACATGGATGTACAGGATATGTGAGTCAGTTTCCTCTACCGTACGAGTATTGATAACACTCATGTCTGTATTGTGTGGTACTAACCCCTGTATTTTTGCTGTTATTAATTACTAACTGCTGTACTTTGTGGTAACAGGTAAATAAATTGCTGTATTTGTGCTGTTATTTATTACTAACTGCTGTACTTATCTACTGTATTATCTTATGGTAATTACAGCTACAGAATTGCTGTATTTTTGCTGTTATGTATTACTAACTGCTGTACTTATCGACTGTATTATCTTATGGTAATTACAGCTACAGAATTGCTGTATTTTTGCTGTTATTAATTACTAACTGCTGTACTTATCAACTGTAACTTAATAACAGGCAAATCATGAGCCACATCCCTGACACACCCTATACCACATCCCCCTTGACACACCCTATACCACACCCTCTCCAACACCCCATACTAAATCACCCCAAGAGCATCATCCATCAGTAACATTCATCCGCCATCCCCCAGAGTGATGGACGGCCATCCGGTGCCCGTTCTCATCCAGTCAGAGGACTCAGGCAGCTTTGAACTGGATGAGGACGCCCTCGAGGAAGTCCTACTCAACCCCAAGATAGCCGACAAACACGTGTGCGTGCTGGCAGTGGCCGGGGCGTTCCGTAAAGGCAAATCTTTCCTCCTCGACTTTCTCTTGAGATATATGAGTTCGCAGGTGAGTTGTGTACCTCCTCGTGCGGTGATTAACTTGGGCCGTCGAGGTGATTTAGTCCATGTCGAGGCTTATATTATGAGGTTTGTTTGTTTGTAAGTTTATTTACGAGTTAATTTAGTCTATTTTTCTAAGTTCATTCATTTACGAGTCAATTAAGTTCATTTATTTACAAGTCAATTAAGTCTATTTCTCTGTAATCTTATTAAATTTAACATACTGTATATTAAATATTTACCATTCCTAAAAGTTAACCCAAATTAACATGTGATAATAATTTAACCTGTAATAATATCTCAAATTTAACATCAATCTAACATACTTTTAACTTTGTCATAGTAATTTCACCTATAATAATACCTGAGACTTAACATGTGGTGGTAATTTAACATCTGTACCTAATTTCACCTATAACAATACCCGAGACTTAACATGTGGTGGTAATTTAACATCTGTACCTAATTTCACTTATAACAATACCCGAGACTTAACATGTGGTGGTAATTTAACGTCTGCTCCTCGCCACATACTAACACGCGTCTCTTCCACATACTGTACACCTGTGATGGGAAGCTGTTAACGGTAAGATAATTTTAACGTATATTTTAACCCTCGCTTTGTTTGTTTGCGTCGTACAGCTGAGTATCGATCGACTCTCCTGCTTAAGGGAAACGTCCGGCTGGTACTCGGGAAATTACGGAAACATTCAGAAAAAAATTCCCGAGGACAGGTCTTGCCTATGGCTGTCTGCGGACGTATTTTGATTGTGTAATTCGTAATATTATTGTAGCTCTGCATGGTTGTTCTACCCCCCCCCCACTCCCCCCCTTCATTTAGAGGGCTCTTCTGTTTATGTAGTAAAAGCTGTTATGTTTTTATAATAATAGTCTGGCGTAAAGTAATGAGTCACTTAATCAGTACAGCTCCTCCCCGACTTACGACCGACCACCCAGACTTACGACCGCCTCAGTCGTACCAAAATTTTGTCAAATTACGCATTTTCGAGTCCCAACGTCAGTGATTGTGCTGTGTACTGACAAAATTTTCGTTTGTAATTCACTTTAAAATATCTGGCCAGCTTAAAAGTGAGAGTTTTGTGGAGCTGAGAAGAAAAAGGGACAACCATTTTAGATTTTCTATGTATTATTTAAGCATTTTCCACTTACGACCTGGATTTGGGTCCCTAACCCTGTCGTAAGTCGGGGAGGAGCTGTATTTGGCATCATTCTCAGTTAGCCAACCACAGGAGGCCATCGGTATAAGTCAGTTACCCATCAAACGTGTGAGGGAGAGGTTCGACCGTCTGTTGCTCTCACGCCGCCCCATTGGCCCATATCTCAGGCCGAGTTTTCCGAACCTTCAAATCCGTAAGGCTCGGACATTTACGGACCGAGTCTAATGAGACCAAAACTAAGTCGGAGAATAACGTTTATTTTACACGGACGAACATTTAATTTCTCTCTATATTTGACTTTGTTTATTATTGATGCATTTTCTTTATAAATATTTAGAGGAATGTGTTTTAGTTCGGATAAAAATCAAGAACTTAAGATAAAATTGATAATCATAAATTTCTGTTATGTTGAAGAGGAATAAATTAACTCAATTACACCTGAATTAATTATACCTGAATTAGTATAACATAATTAAGTAGGATTTTGAAAAGTGATAAGAATGTAAGGGAAAAATCAGGTATCAGGGATTAGGAAGAACTGATTCAGGAGTGAAACAAAATCAGGTATCAGGGATTAGGAAGAACTGATTCAGGAGTAAAACAAAATCAGGTATCAGGGATTAGGAAGAACTGATTCAGGAGTAAACAAAATCAGGTATCAGGGATTAGGAAGAACTGATTCAGAACTCAGGTATCAGGGATTAGGAAGAACTGATTCAGGAGTGAAACAAAATCAGGTATCAGGGATTAGGAAGAACTGATTCAGGAGTAAAACAAAATCAGGTATCAGGGATTAGGAAGAACTGATTCAGGAGTGAAGCAAAATCAGGTATCAGGGATTAGGAAGAACTGATTCAGGAGTAAAACAAAATCAGGTATCAGGGATTAGGAAGAACTGATTCAGGGGTAAAACAAAATCAGGTATCAGGGATTAGGAAGAACTGATTCAGGAGTAAAACAAAATCAGGTATCAGGGATTAGGAAGAACTGATTCAGGAGTAAAGCAAAATCAGGTATCAGGGATTAGGAAGAACTGATTCAGGGGTAAAACAAAATCAGGTATCAGGGATTAGGAAGAACTGATTCAGGAGTAAAGCAAAATCAGGTATCAGGGATTAGGAAGAACTGATTCAGGGGTAAAGTGACTATTTATTTGGCATCTTTAATTGCTGACGGGAAATCGATATTGATTGATCAGTTATTAACGAATATCTTGCCTCAGCCGGACGTTCCCCTTAAGACATTGTTGTGATTGTCGTGCTTAATATTGTGTTGTTTTGGTGATGATGCTAACCTGCCGACCCCATAGTTGAGTTTTTGTTTAGGGTGTAACTTAACCTAACCATGATCCAGCTTAGTGGCACCAATCCTAGGCTGATCTTATGCTAAGCTGCCATAACATTGTGCTAAACTAAGCTGATTTAATTAAACCTAAGCTGTTCTAACCTGGTGTGATCTAACCTAATCTGACCCAGCTTAGTGGCATCAATCCCAGGCTAATCTTAACCTAACCTGCCATAACATTGTGCTAAACTAAGCTGATTTAATTTAGCCTAAGCTGTTCTAACCTGTTGTGACCTGACCCAACCAACACCTAACCATAACCTAACCTAACCATAAACTCTCTCTATTATTGTAAAGTGATGATGTTAAATAAGTTAGTTCTCTCTCTGTCTCTCTCACTCTCTTCCTCACTATCTCTCTCCCTCACTATCTCTCTCTCTCTCCCTTACTCTCTCCCTCTCTCACTCTCTCTCTAATATATCTCATTTTTCCCATAATTACAGCAATCACAAGAGTGGCTCGGTGATGTGGACCAGCCACTAAAAGGGTTCAAGTGGAGGCAGGGATCCAAGAGAGAGACGACTGGAGTACTGATCTGGAGTGAACCTTTTGTTATTAAGAAGAGATCTGGGGAAGAGGTGAGCTGTGGGGTGTGTTAGGAGTGTGTTAAGGGTGTGTTATAGGGTGTGAAAGTCTTCTGTTTTTCTCCTCTACCTACTGACCATTCACTCGAGGTGGCCAGTGGGTACCCCAAATTTCCCGGCGTCTAATGTGTCGGTAATACAGATGGGAAGCGGAGGTGCCTAGCTAGGGAGGCTGGGACGTGCGGTAGTCCACTTAACACATACATTGAGTTGCTGATAATATTACTAATAATAAAATACTGAAAAATAAGCCAAATTATCACAAATTTATGGTAAATTTGTCGAAGATGTAAATAATTGTTTATATTGGTTTATTGGCAGAGGGAAGCTCACAGTGTCTGACTGTTCCTCCTCCCACACCAGATAGATGTCTTACATTATTTAACTACTGTTGTTACCTTTAAGAAACATTTGTTAATTATCTAAATGAAAAATGACTCGAGAAAGATTAAAGAAATGTTAATGGAAAATTCAGTCGCCAGTCAGTCATTTGCAATGAGTCAGTGACGCCAAAATAATAGCGATGGTGCTACACCCTGGTGGCAGCAACACAAAACATCACGGCCAAAAATACAAGTTTCACATCCTGTCGGTAATTCTCTTGACCAAAATATGAACAAGTCACACAGCTGCTCTGATCAGAGGGAGAGTTGAGTTAGTATAATGTTACTATATATAATTAACTACTTGATTCCAGTATATATAAGTCCTTCTCTGCTTAAGAATGAGTTACATTCCTGAGGCTTGTTTGGCAGTCCAACTTTACTCTTGTAGATACCAAACATATGGTGTCTCTTATGTGGTGGCGAGTCCCTCTTAACGAGCTTGTACGGTAGTTATGTTCTGTGGTGTTAATGGTGCTGGATTTGAATGTTTCTATGAGATGAGTTAATGTGTCTTGTCTGAAGGGTTGTTAGTCTTAAGGCCATTCGAGCACTTTGATCATTAGGCTGACTTATGAGCCACCCTGTACAGTACACTCTATAACCACGACCACACCATTAACCACACCATTAACCGCACCATTACCCCACAGATTGCGGTCATACTAATGGACACACAGGGAACCTTCGACATACAATCGTCCATGAAAGACTCGACGACAGTGTTCGCCCTAACGACCATGGTGTCGTCGGTGCTGGTGTACAATCTGATGAACAACGTACAGGAGGACGACTTAATGAACCTACAGTTGTTCACGTCTTATGGCATGTTGGCTCAAGAGGACTGTGATAGTGCTCATCCCTTCCAGGTAAGACATCTGTTAAGCTTATTCCACAGCTTTATCACTCAGCTTAAGTACTGAAAAGTGATATTTTAAGGTCAATTGTTCCTGTTAAGTTTAGTTCATTATCACACAGCTTTATTACTCAGCTTAATTACTAATAAATGATATTATAACCAAGCTTTAATTACTCATCTTATCAAAATATCAAGCTTGGTCTATTAATCTCCAGCTTAATTCCATATGTTAGCCTGAACGCTACATCAGAGAGCCAACTACCTATGTAACTGAAGACTTCTACAGTACAGTACAAGTCCAAAAATCCGGACTGCCTGGGGATTGGGTCGGTCCGGATTTTCCTGATTCTCAGGCAGTACTTTTAAAATTCAAATTTAAGGAGGAATAAAGAAGAGATGAACAGGTACACTTTGATAGTTTATTCACTAGTAATATAGCATGGTTCATTTATCAAAACGAGCAGTTTTAAAGATAAAGCTGTGAATTCTAGAATTTTATTCTTTGCCTTTTTTATATCATAAATTGTAGACTTTCCAGTGTGGTATGTTTCCATTAGATCAGTGTTGCTCACACCACGTTCTAGTGTCTTAATTATTTCAAGTTTGTCACTCAGTTTCAACGTGTTCTTCTTTCTCTTCACACAACCAAGTTTATCTACTTTAGGAGCCATTATTATGGGCTTGTACAGTACAGTACTCTCTAAATGGAAACAGTAGGACTCAAAATTACATACGTTGTCACAGTTTGATTGCTTGTTTTAAAGTGGCGACCGCGTGGTCGCTGTGCAGCTGTGGCGCTCACGCATGTGCACATACACACACAAGCCCGCTAAAAAAAAAAAGTGAGTTTTCGAAAAGTCCGGATTCTCGGGTGGTCCGGATTTGTGGCATCCAGATTTATGGACTTTGACTGTATGTCAGTAAAGTTGTTGTCTTTATAATATGTGACTTAGAGGTAGAGAGAATATAGGGGTGTAAGGAGAGGTAGTTTGGCTAGTAAGTTATTATACAGTCTTAGGGGACATCTAAACATCGCCTCTATTAGTACAGTTATTATTATTCACTCAATGACACACACATTATATCCAAGTTACTAGAACATTATATTTACGTTACTAGACACTGACTCTCGGACACGAACATGATATGGATACACTTCCCACCGTAAGTAACTCACACTATGGATAGTTCTGACCCGAGGGAGGCCCAGTGGGTGCTGCTGGACTATGTCTTCTATGGGAGACTCTGCTAGCTGGAGACGTGGTGCTGAAGGGAAGTCTCTCTCCCCGGCTCGACTAGTGACGAGCTCGACTCCGTCTTCCGTCGATGGTGTCGTGAAAGTCGTTTGAATATGAATGACTGAATGAATGCCCCGTGGAATGAGCTGCGGGGCCTTTATATTAGAGGTCACCAGCGGGTCACCTCTCCTAATTAACACTAAGCTCGTTAGATCCGGACGGCTGTTTCCCCAGGTATGGTCATGACACAGGTCGGTAATGCTTCCTAATTATTACCGCCCGGGTGTGTCTTGGCAAGGTGTGGTTTCCTTAAGACGGTCATATCACCTGGTCAAGTACTCGGTCACTGTAGGGTGTGTCTTGGCAAGGTGTGGTTTCCTTAAGACGGTCATATCACCTGGTCAAGTACTCGGTCACTGTAGGGTGTGTCTTGGCAAGGTGTGGTTTCCTTAAGACGGTCATATCACCTGGTCAAGTACTCGGTCACTGTAGGGTGTGTCTTGGCAAGGTGTGGTTTCCTTAAGACGGTCATATCACCTGGTCAAGCACTTGGTCACTGTAGGGTGTGTCTTGGCAAGGTGTGGTTTCCTTAAGACGGTCATATCACCTGGTCAAGCACTCGGTCACTGTAGGGTGTGTCTTGGCAAGGTGTGGTTTCCTTAAAGGTGTGGTTTCCTTAAGACGGTCATATCACCTGGTCAAGTACTTGGTCACTGTAGGGTGTGTCTTGGCAAGGTGTGGTTTCCTTAAGACGGTCATATCACCTGGTCAAGTACTCGGTCACTGTAGGGTGTGTCTTGGCAAGGTGTGGTTTCCTTAAGACGGTCATATCACCTGGTCAAGCACTTGGTCACTGTAGGGTGTGTCTTGGCAAGGTGTGGTTTCCTTAAGACGGTCATATCACCTGGTCAAGCACTCGGTCACTGTAGGGTGTGTCTTGGCAAGGTGTGGTTTCCTTAAGACGGTCATATCACCTGGTCAAGTACTTGGGTGTGTCAACTTATGGGTGGACCTCTGCTCAGGTGTTGTATTTCTCTGGGCTGTAAGTTTTGGTCTGATAAATAATCATTACATATGTCTGCTGGTTAGATTGTGATGTATATAGCCAGGGTATAGGAATAATATAGCCAATATGTGTGTGTGTTGAATAATATAGCCAATACAGGTTGTACCTCTCTAGTCCGGCATCCTGTGGTCCGGAAACTCCCGTGGTCCGGAACGATTTTAGTTTGTCCAATAGGTAGATAGGCAGCTTTTTTTTTTATTTTAATTTTTTTACTTATCTGAATTATTATTATTATTACAGGAGTATTAAATTTTTGCCCCTCAGGCCCCAATGTGGGTCAGTGACCTATGCCCGGGTAGGCTAATCCCCGTAAAAAAAAACAATAGCAAAGCCACAGGAAATTAAGGTTTGTTTACATCCGGCAGTTCGGCTGCTCTCTCTCTCTCTCTCTCTGCTTGTCTATACAGAGTACAACATTTAACCCTTCAATATATATGAGCAGTAAATAAGTGTTGCTTTCATATTCTTATGTCGAGTAATGACGATATGTTTTCATATGTGCTCACTTACATACGCGCAGTCTCACTTTTTTTTTACCATTAATGGTTAGCTACTTATATTGTTCCATTTAGTAACATTAAATAACATTACTTAAAACAACCAAATTAATTTTACTACAGCTACAACCAGGGTCTTATTTTCTTCAGTTTTATATGCAGAACCAGTCAGTCACTGGTTTTGTAATCAACGAAAACAATGCTTTGTCATTTCCTTGTGTGTTTTAATATTCTACGTATTATTAATGAATTGTATTGCTCATTTTGCACACATAAACATTAATTCAATCAAAAAGACATTCAGTAATAAACAATAATGAATCTTTTGTGCATCAGAGAAATGACGCTGTTTACAGTTTATGCACGTTGGCGGGCCGTTCAAACCCGTCGAAATTCGAGTTTCCGCCGTCAAAATTTTTAAATGTGTTGTTGTTTTTTTTGTGTTCAAATAGAAAACGTCGAATTAAAAACTTGCGAAATTTGAGAAGCTACTGTACGACATTTAACCCTTCAATATGTCTTCAAAGAGACCACGAAGCAGAGAAAGTGGTGCTAGTGCTTCCAAGCATAAGCAAAAGTCACTGTCTATCCAGGAAAAGGGTGAATTTCCATGGTCCGGCACCGGTCAGGTCCCGAGGTTGCCGGACTAGAGAGGTACAACCTGTATATGTGTGGAATATGTCAGTGGTTCATTTCTTTGTACCCTAAAGATGCTATATTTTAAACCCTTATTGGTATGTCTAGAATATTGCTTTCTGCTATATTGTTTTGTCTATGTTGTGTTTATAATAGGTAGGACCCATATTATAGTGCAGCGAATAATGGCTCCACAGCTCGTATTATTTTGGTCGAATGCGTCGCAGTTTTTCCCCAGCTTGTGATTATTACTCTGGGGTACAGTTTGTCACATCTCTGCCGTTCAGTTTTGAGGTATTATTTTAAAGCTGTTTGTTTATTTCTGCGTTGACGTTAGGATTTTTTATTTTATGGTTCAGTCGTAGTTTTGTTGATATCTGTTTTGAGCAATGATCGATAAATTAATTAACACCTTCACTACAGGGACGACGCTTTTAATATTTGGTTAACAACAGAGGTGACCCCATACACAAGGTGTTAGTAGACTATCACCACTAACACCTTCACTACAGGGACGACACTTTTAATATATGGTTAACAACAGAGGTGACCCCATACACAAGGTGTTAGTAGACTATCACCACTAACACCTTCACTACAGGGACGACACTTTTAATATTGGTTAACAACAGAGGTGACCCCATACACAAGGTGTTAGTAGACTATCACCACTAACACCTTCACTACAGGGACGACACTTTTAATATATGGTTAACAACAGAGGTGACCCCATACACAAGGTGTTAGTAGACTATCACCACTAACACCTTCACTACAGGGACGACACTTTTAATATATGGTTAACAACAGAGGTGACCCCATACACAAGGTGTTAGTAGACTATCACCACTAACACCTTCACTACAGGGACGACACTTTTAATATATGGTTAACAACAGAGGTGACCCCATACACAAGGTGTTAGTAGACTATCACCACTAACACCTTCACTACAGGGACGACACTTTTAATATTTGGTTAACAACAGAGGTGACCCCATACACAAGGTGTTAGTAGACTATCACCACTAACACCTTCACTACAGGGACGACACTTTTAATATTTGGTTAACAACAGAGGTGACCCCATACACAAGGTGTTAGTAGACTATCACCACTAACACCTTCACTACAGGGACGACACTTTTAATATATTGGTTAACAACAGAGGTGACCCCATACACAAGGTGTTAGTAGACTATCACCACTAACACCTTCACTACAGGGATGACACTTTTAATATTTGGTTAACAACAGAGGTGACCCCATACACAAGGTGTTAGTAGACTATCACCACTAACACCTTCACTACAGGGATGACACTTTTAATATATGGTTAACAACAGAGGTGACCCCATACACAAGGTTATAATCAAACAAACTGCGTAAATGCTACCTTGTACTACTCAGCCTCCCATTGGTCAGTTAAATTTGATAGAAAGAATGTTTATCTCTTTCAAAGTACGTCGCTGCCAAAACAAAGCCTCGTGGTTAGGTTATGTTAGCATTAGGTTAGGGCCATTAAATAAAGGTCAGTACTAGGTCAGGTTAGGGCCATTAAAGGTCAGTACGCTTGGCTGCGCTGGGGCGGCTGTGTGGATTCCTGAGCGCCAGGCCTGCAGGAAAATCAGGGTCCACGACTGGGCCTCCTCCACTGACACTGAAAGCATAGCCATCCTCGCGGGCATTCATGAGGGGGCGGCCTATGCTCGCACTGAACCTCCTGATAATCAGTGACAGCACTAGCGAGGCTCAAATCACCCTCCCCCTCCTCCCCTGCCGCCCAACGCACCCTAGCCGCCGTCGCCGGGCTAGAACAAACTGACGACATCCGTGTCAAGTTTATTTGGATCCCGTCACATATAGGAATAACTGCCTGTGACACTGTTGATCGACTTGCCAAAGAAGCCACACAAGAAGAAGATATTGAAGCCACTCTCGCCCTCTCCCTGAATCATCTCAAGTCTCACATACACGCCACACAACGAGAAGCATTCAACGAAAAATGGACACACCCGAAACAACGGAGCAGCGTCACACTATGCCACTATGACGCTGTAACTGGTGACGACAACCGCCACTACAAAGAGTATATCAATCCCTGACTCGATCTCAACAGATTATGTACATGAGACTGCGCCTAGGGTACAGGTACCTATGGGAGTACATTGGCAACCCTGAGCTTCACCGCACTGTTTGTAAACTTTGTGGCCAACCCGACTCTCACACCCTCTCTCACTACATCCTCACTTGCCCTATGACCTCCTCCTATAGGTCCCCAGCCGTTACCAACACATCTTCCCTCCCTGACCAGATATCCCTCCTCCTAGGCCTGGCACTAGTCATTATTAGGGACCTGTCACGCTTTGCCATAAACAGATGAAATGTACCGGGAATTCCCCCCCACACCACACACTCATCATTCTGCCACTTTATGTAACTTGCTGACAAAACCCATGACCCTTCAGGCTTCCACGCCCTTAATGCATGAGACATAAAGGCAAGCATGAACTTAGCATGCTTCCCTGTTGGGCGCTGTAAACGCTTCTGTGCTTCACCTTGCACAGGATGTAAGGGGGTGCCCAATAAACTAGCCCCCTCCGGGTCAATCTGTAAATCTGTCAGTACTAGGTCAGGTTAGGGTCATTAAATAAAGGTTCAGTACAGTGTGACCTTCTTCCTCCTTAACAGAGACTACACTTCCTGGTCAGAGACTGGGGGTTCCCTTACGAGGTCCCTTATGGTCATCAAGGTGGACAAACACTTCTGGACGACATATTACAGGTAAGATAAACTCTACTTTATTCTACTCTACTCTACTCTACTCTACTCTATTCTATTCTACACATATTACAGGTAAGATAAACTCTACTTTATTCTACTCTACTCTACTCTACTCTACTCTACCCTACCCTACCCCTACACTACACTACTCTACTCTACACTACTCTACTCTACTCTACTCTACTCTACTCTACAGAAGGTCCCAGCCTGCCAAACATCCTCTGATATAAACGAGGTTAAACTTAAATTTTCCAGTACAGTATTTTATTTACCTCATCACATAGTATTGACTTTTATTTACAGTATTTTGTTTTGTTCTTTTGTCATAAATTTACTTTTATTTCCAGTATTTTGTTATTTATTTGTTCTTTTGTGATAAATTAAGTTATTTTAGATGTATACAAGGACTTAGGTGATGACATAGTGGTATTTTAAACATTGTTGTGTGTGTACAGTAAGCAGATAGCTTGTGAACGTCCTCAGGAATGTAATCTGTTTATAACCTGGGGATCACTGTACTGTTCTCTACTGTACTTTACTGTTCTCTAATCTACTGTACTCTACTGTTCTCTACTGTACTTTACTGTTCTCTAATCTACTGTACTCTACTGTTCTCTAATCTACTCTACTGTTCTCTACTGTACTCTACTGTTCTCTACTGTACTCTACTGTTCTCTACTCTACTGTTCTCTACTGTACTCTACTGTTCTCTAATCTACTCTACTGTTCTCTACTCTACTCTACTGTACTCTACTCTACTCTACTGTACTCTACTGTCTCAGAGGTTTAAGTTAACGTGGCAACACAGGTCACCATCAACCACAACTGACAGTCGCTCAGTCATCAATATCATCAAACTTGACTTCCTCTCTTTCCCACATTATTAACCACAATAGTGTTGCATTAATGTGTATTTATTGGTATTTATACATTGAACCTAACACCAAATACAACTGAAATACAACTGAAATAGTGAAATAAGTAGATAATGTTTACTTAACCCTGATGATCCGAGCTGGTGGCGGGAATAGGCTGACAACGTGGAGCATCGCCCGGAGCCAAAAGGGTTTAACACACACTGATGTTTACTACCCAATAGGGGAGTCGTTCCAACACCTCACGTCCAATAACATAACACGTGTTTATTGAGACTTAAAACGTGGAAACCAAGAGATAAATATTTACTTTGTCGGGTTTTTGAAGTCCGGGTTAATGGCCGTAGTTTGGTGGAGGATGAAATGTTTGTTATTGGTCACTAATGTGTTAAGTTGGGTTAAGTTAAGTTGGGTTAAGTTAAGTTAGGTTAAGTTAAATTGGGTTAAGTTAGGTTATATTAGGTTAAGTTAGACCATACAGTAAATCTTAACTAAACAATCCAATTTCCATCTCTCTCTCACCTCACACATCCCTCACCTCACACATCCCTCACCTCACACATCCCTCACCTCACACATCCCTCACCTCCCTCACCTCACACATCCCTCACCCCTCACCTCACACCCCACACATCCCTCACCTCACACCTCACACATCCCTCACCTCACACATCCCTCACCTCACACATCCCTCACCTCACACCCCACACATCCCTCACAGGTAACAGAGAAGCAACACCCAGCACATCAGGAGGTGCGTCGGGATCTGCGCAAATGTTTCCGGGACATAAACTGCTACCTTATGCCACATCCCGGGTTCAAGGTCATACAAAAGGCGGACTTTGACGGCAGATTATCAGGTAAATAACGCGTCTTGTTTAGGGGGGTCACCTGTGGATTAGCCTCCCTCCCCCTACCCCCCACCCTTTCCTCTCCTCTCCCCTACCCTTTCCTCCCCCCCTTTCTTCCCCCCTAGTTTGTGATTGGTTGACACACAGAGAACAGTTCAGAGTGTTAATGTTCTGCTGTATAACGTGTCATAATCATCGTTGACCTCCCCTGACCTGACCTAACTAGAGTAACTACATTATTCCCCCTTGACCCTAATTTATGGTCCCGACTTAACGAGACAACACCTGCCCTTCAGTCCTCCACACCTGGACTATGACCTTATGTGACCCCTATGACCCCTGTGACCTCTGTGTGACCCCTGTGACCCCTTATGATGCATCTTGCGACCCCGTGTTTGGGGGAACTATTGACCTAAGGGCCTTGAGGTCATTTGCTCTCATAGTTAAGTGTGCCATCCTCTCTCTCTCTCTCTCTCTCTCTCTCTCTCGTGTGTGTGTGTGTGTGTGTGTTTGTGTGTACATTACGTTACCATGACAACATTAAACAATAGGTTGTGTGTACACTATGATGAGACCACAGCTGCACACATGCCTAGTGTGCCATTTTATCTTGTGTGTACATGCTGGTGGGATGTGTACATGACTATATGTGACAATATTAGTGTGTGTTTAATGCTGATGTAAGTATTACATATTATTATTGTTGTTGTTGTTGTTGTTGTTGTTGTTGTTGTTGTTGTTGTTGTTGTTGTTGTTGTTGTTGTTGTTGTTGTTGTCGTTGTCACTACACCATAACCTGTGTCACACTGTATCACCACAAGGGGTCGTTTGTCAGGTCTGTGTGAGGCTGACGACATGGGTTACGTCCTACTGTGTGTGTGTGTGTGTGTGTGTTTATGTGTATGTGTGTGTGTACGTGTGTGTGTGTGTGTGTGAGGAGGAACAGTTGCAATTATGACTCATACTGTCATACGTCTCCCCCCCTCCCTCCCTCCCTCTCTCCCTCCCTCTGCATTATTCTCTCTCTCTCTCTTTCTTCCCAGCCCTCCCTCACCCCCTCACCCCCACCACCCCCACCCTCCTCCACCCAGGGCATGACTCACTACCTGGGTCTTATCTCACCTGACTATTGATTGTTGAGAGAGAGAGAGAGAGAGAGAGAGAGAGAGAGAGAGACAGAGAGAGAGAGAGAGAGAGAGAATGTACTGATATATGTATGTGTATTGTGTGTGTGTACTTATATGTATGTATGTATGTATTTATTGTGTGTATATATTTATGTATGTATGTGTGTGTATGTATTTATTGTGTGTGTATATATCTATGTAGGCATGAATGTGTGTGTGTGTGTATAATAAGGACAATACCGTAATTACTTTCCAATACAAACATCGATTTTATCCTCTCTGTCTGTCTGTCTGTCTGTTCGTCTGTCTGTCTGTCTGTCTGTCTGTGTCTGTCTGCCTGTCTGTCTGCCTGCTCCGTGTATGTCTGTCTGTCTGTCTGTCTACACTGTCTGTGTCTGTCTGTCTGTCTGTCTGTCTGTCTGTCTGTCTGTCTCTGCTCTGTCTGTCTGTTGTGTGTGTCTGTCTGTCTGTCTGTCTGTCTGTGTAGTTCGTCTGTCTGTCTGTCTGTTCGTATGTCTTCTCGTACAGGCCATTCTCCTTCCCTCCACTGCTTCAATTTCCCCCACTTTCCAACACCCCCACTTCTCCACCCCCCATCAGTAGTGTGGGTGGTGACAAGAGACAGACTGACAGACACAACTGGAGCTCTATATATACCCCTCCCCAGTGTGACGCCAGGGGGTATTAATAAACCACTTGGCAATACAGCTTGTTTGGTTCATCGAGTTGTGGTTGATGGTGGTAGTTGTGGTTGATGGGGGTAGTTGTTGTGGTGGTGGTTGTTGTGGTGGTGGTGGCTGCTTGCTGCTGTGGTGGTGGTTGCTGTGGTGGCGGTGGTTGTTGCTGTGGTGGTGGTGGTTGTAGGTGGTGGTGGTGGTGGCTGTGTGGTTGATGGTGGTATTGTGGTTGATGGGGGTGGTTGATGGTGGTGAAGCAAGCTGATGGGGGGTGGTGGTGGTGGTTGTGGTGGTGGTGGTTGTGGTGGTAGTGGTTGTTGTTGTGGTGGTGGTGGTAGTTGTGGTGGTTGGCTGCTTGTTGTGGTTAATGGTGGTAGTAATAGTAGTGGACTCTCTAAGGTGTACATACGTTGTGTTGTAATTGGCCATGGAGGGTTGTGAGTTGTGGCCACAGGAGGAAGTATGTGGCCATATAAGGGATGGAATGATGTGGCCACAGGAAGAGGAAGTAATTGAAGAGATGTGGCCAAGGGGGTGAATTTTTTTGAAGATGTGGCCATTTATCAGATGTGGCCACAGTGAGGAGAACCGGTGTTGTGGCCAAGTGAGGGGGTAGGGCCCACCTCTCCCTCCACCACAAGTATGTAACGGGGACACACACACACACGTACACACACGCACGTACACACACACATGACACTCTGATATGACAGAGTTGGTTGTGTAATGTGTGTCTGTGTACGTGTGTGTGTTCTCTCTCTCACGTGTACACACACACACACACACACACACACACACACACACACACACACACACACACACACACACACACACATGACACTCTGGATATGACAGTATTGGTCTGTGTACGTGTGTGTATGTGTACGTGTGTGTGTATGTGTACGTGTGTGTGTGTATGTGTACGTGTGTGTACGTGTGTGTGTGTGTGCGTAGCCTTGATGTGTTCCGCTATCAGTCACCTCACAGGAAGGATTAAGAAGGAGAGGAATGTTGACTTTTTTACTGTGTTAACAACCTGCTGCTGTTAGTGGAGAAACAGGTGGAGGTCGACCTTGAAGCTCCTCCTTGAGTACCTGTGAACCTGTCATTAAGGAAGTGATTAATTACCTGTACTTCATATAATTACTGTACCTGTCAGAGCTCCTGTATCTTGGGTTAGGTTTTAGGGCGACAACAACAATAACAACAACAATAACAACAACAATAACAACAACAACAACAACAACAACAACAACAACAATAACAACAACAACAACAATAACAACAACAATAACAATAATAACAACAATAATAACAACAATAATAACAATAATAATAACAATAATAATAATAAATAATAATAATAATAATAATAATAACAAATAATAATAATAACAGGTAAAGTCTCAGTGTAGTATGGACGCCATCTTGAGTGTTTGAGTGTGATGCATTATATAAGGTTGAGTGTGGTGACGTCATGTGTTGAGTGTAACGGGACTGTGAGAGAGAGGGAAAGAGGGAGAGAGGGGGGTGAGAGGGAGGGAGAGAGGGAGGTGGGAGGAAACAGAGTGAGGGAGGGAGAGGCAAGGGGTGGGATGGCGTGCTCACTCGCTCAGTGTGTGTGTGTGCGTGTGTCTGTGTGTGTGTGTGTGAGACTCAGCTCAGTCGACTTGTGACAGTGGTTGAGTGAACATTACGTACATACATACCATCCCAAACGTACGTACATACATACATACATACAGTACATACATACATACATACATACATACAGTACATACATACATACATACATAATAGTGTTTTGTGTACGTGTGTGTATGTATGATACCACCACACAACTACCATTACTATAACTTATAAGTACACACACACACACACACACACACACACACACACACACACACACACACACACACACACACTGGTTTAATTTGTAAATAAACCAAAAATATAAAATTAATCTTAATTTTTTCACTTAACTCTAAAACAGTGACTAAAAACCACAATAAAACCGACAAATATATTAATTTTATCTTTTGAAACAGTGAAAAAAAAAACCCCCACTTGTGTTGGGTTTTATGGACTGCAGTGAAATAAAACCAAACGTGATTACCACCTTGAGAAACAGTGAAATAAAACCCAATTGTGATAGTGCAGTGAGACAAAAAAAATCACTAGATATTAATTTCATCATCAAAAAAGTGAACAAATTAAACCACAAAATCACTGAACTATTTTTTTCGTAATTTAGTGACAAAAAAAATCACCATTTATCTAGATCGTGACAAATGAAAGTAACTAATCCAGGCCTTTAAAACCCTCGTGTGTGTTTGTGTGTGAACGTGTGTGTGTATGTGTGTGTGTGTGAGGAGATGAGAGATAGAGAGATAGAGAGATAGAGATATAGAGATAGAGAAAGAGAGAGAGAGCCCTGAAAAGTGTTAAAAAGAACTGGATTTGGTGTTACAAGATCCGGCTCACCTGTGGGTTCAGACAACATAGGTAAAGTTGTCTGTACGTTTATGGTGAACCTGTGTACACCTGTTAACACCTGTCTTAGTGGTTATACACACCTGTTTATACCTGTCTTAGTGGTTATACACACCTGTTTACACCTGTCTTAGTGGTTATACACACCTGTTTACACCTGTCTTAGTGGTTATACACACCTGTTAACACCTGTCTTATTTATACACACCTGTCTTAGTTATACACACCTGTCTTAGTGGTTATACACACCTGTTATCATGAGTTTAGTAGTTGTGGTTGCTGTACTGATAGTGGTAGTGTTGTGATAGTTGTAGTGAAGATAGTTTCCGGTTAGATGGTCAGAGTGTAGTGTGGGAGGGTGGTGGTGGTGAAGAAAGGTGTGGTTAATGAGCCACGGCACCACTCACCACCACACACTACCACCACCACTACCACCACTACCACAGTCAACATGTAAACAAACTCTCTCCCGTATGTTATTGAGCGTCTGGCGTTAATGTCTTCTGCCTGTACTGACGAAACTTATGGAGTTTTTTATCTACCGAGGCGCATAATTTAAGTCCCGTTTGGTGAGGGAGTGAGGGAGAGGTGAGGGAGAAGGAGTGAGGGAGAGGTGAGGGAGGGAGGAGGGGTAAGTCTGTCGCCAGTGAGGGAAAGAGAGTCGACGTGTGTGTGTGTGTGTGTGTGTGTGTGTGTGTGTGTGTGTGTGTGTGTGACCCAGATTAAGTGGTTTGAGAGAAAACAGAATTGGTTCCAGACTTATCTTAACCAGTTCTTGCCTCCTCTCTCCTCTCTCCTCCTTCCTCCTCTCTCTCCTCTTCCTCCTCTCTCCTCCTTGGTTGGGTTAGGTTAGGGTCACATCTCAACACCCAACCCAAGGAAGCATTAGGAAGTTTAATAATCAGGTGAAATAAGCTTTGTTGTCCAAGGTAAAATAAGCTTTGTTGTCTAAGCTGGGGGTGTCTAATCTTCAGGTGATGCTTTACCTCAGTAATTACAGGTGAGAGAATTTGTCTCCCTGTCTCACTTACAACAATTCCCTATCGTTTGTGAGGGGGGTGAGAGGGTGGAGAGGGTGAGAGGGGGGGAGGGGGTGGTGAGAGGGGTGAGTGGGCAGGAACGCGTGTGAAGTATTGGATTTGTGGTAATAGTGGTGATTGGATTGTGGTAGTAGAGGAATATTGAGGTAGTGATGGTGGTAGATGGTGGTGGAAGATGGTGGTAGATAGTGGTTGAAGATGGTGGTGGTAGGTGATGGTGGTTGAAGATGGTGGTAGATAGTGGTGGAAGGTGTGTAGTGAGGCAGCCAGTCAGCAGACCATGGACCGTGACGTTCACTCTTGTCTTCTGCTCCTTCCAAGGTCACTCCTGGTGGTGGTAGTTGTGGTAGTAATGGTGGTAGTTGTGGTAGTAATGGTGGTAGTAATGGTGGTAGTAATGGACAAGTCGATCACTGATTCAAACGGCTGCTAAGTTCATTGGCTCGTGTGTGTGTGTGTGTGTGTGTGTAAACAATGGTACTCGTGGAACATTTAACAGAGAGAGAGTATATCTGTGTGGTTGTGTGTACATGATTACCACACACACTCACACACACTCACACACTCACACACACACACACACACACACACACAAGCCAAGCGGAAGTGTACCATCTAGCATGTCACCTGAGAGAGAGAGACCACCTTATCGATATTACCTGGATGTGTATCTGTAGGTAACCATTGTATGTATGTATGTATGTATGTATGTATGTATGTATGTATGTATGTATAGATACCCATTGTGTGGTAGACAGTCACACCCTTGTTCCTTGGTGTTGGGTGTGGCTTCTTAGGGCTGGTTGGGTGTGGCATTTAGAGCTGGTTGGGTGTGGCATTTTAGTATTTTATCACCTGAAGAATAACCACCCCAGCTTATTTTATCTCAAGATTAACCTGACCTAACCTAACCCAACCTGATCTAATCTAACCCTACCTGACCCAACCTAACCCATCCTCATATTAAGGTTAGGTTAAGTTAGGGTATTTTTAGCTCAGATTAGGTTAGGTTAAATTTATTATCAATCCCTAACACATCACAACACATCCCGTCTCTTGCAGATATCGAAGAGGAATCCGTAAATCACTTGATGGTCTTAGGTTAGGTTAGATTAACTTAAATTCAGTATCAATTAATCCCTAACGACACATCACAACACTCAAATATCTCTTAACACATCACAACACATCACTCAAATATCCCCTAACACATCCCTTCTCTTGCAGATATTGAAGAGGAATCCGTAAACCACTTGATGGTCTTGGGTTAGGTTAGATTAGCTTAAATTCAGTATCAATTAATCCCTAACGACACATCACAACACTCAAATATCTCTAACACATCACCTAACACATCCCGTCTCTTGCAGATATCGAAGAGGAATTTGTCAACCACTTGAAGGTCCTGGTGCCTCGACTCTTGGCTCCAGAGAACTTGGTCAAGAAGGAGATAGGTGGCCAACCTATAAAGTCTAGGGACCTGCTCAAATTCTTTACCCTATTCATGGAGGTGTTTAAGGACAATGACTTACCTGAACCTACTACCCTTGTTGAGGTGAGTGCATTGAGTGCGTTGAGTGTGTGTTGTGAGGTGTTAGTGTGTGTGTGTATGTATGTATGTGTCATCAAAACCAAATAAAACACAACAATTTAAAGCCAACCAACACAAAATCACCTCAATTCAATTTGTTTTTTCCAGTTTGCCGCACGAGCCAGCAGTCAAGCAGCTCTCGAGGCCGGCAAAGAATATTACGCCGAGACCATGGAAGCTCTTGTAGGTGGTGACCGGCCTTTCCTCAAGACGGTCCAGATGGAGGCCGAACATAAAAGGGCCAAGGAGAAGGCCATACAGACCTATCTCGATAAGAATAAATATGGCCGGAAAAATCAGAGCGTCGTCGAGAAATACCAAAATATTCTTGTGGAGGTGTGTGGGGTGATGATGATGATAACAATAATGATAATAATAATAGTAATAATGATAATAGTAATAATGATAATAATAATAATGAACATCCACAAACACGCATTTACTTTCCAGGAAGTCGAAAAAATATACCAGAAATATTCACAGCAGAACGAAGCCAAGAACGTGTTTAAGGCGGCCCGCACCCCGGCCACGCTGTTCTCCGTTCTCATGTTCTTTTACCTCCTGTCGGGGATCTTCGGCCTCTTTGGGATGTATTCATTTGCTAATATGTGTAACCTGGCCATGGGGGTGTTCCTCATCATGCTAACTGTTTGGGCATATGTTAGGTAAGGCATCTGTTCTGTTCTGCTCTCTCTCTGTGTCATTGAGTCATTGATAATATTTTTTTGAGTAACACTGAATATATCTCTCTCTCTCTCTCAATGCGTAAACAAACCTCTCACGTCCGCTGCATTTTCACAGGTACAGCGGAGAGTACAGAGATGCGGGCGTGTACATCGACGAATTAGCCACATTTTTATGGGAAAACGTGAGTCGTAACCAAACTAAATATACTTTTTATATTGTTCTTGTGATAACTGTGTGTACTAGCACCACCCTCTTGTGAAGTGTTGGCTAGGGTGCGTTTAGTGTGGAGTAGAGTGCGGTCTTTATGCCACTCTTGTGAAATGTTGACCTCTAGGGTGCGGTCTTTATGACATTCCTGTGAAATGTTGACCTCTAGGGTGCGTTCTTTATGCCACTCTTGTGATTAGTTGACTGAGTGCGTGCAAATAATCAAATCACTCTTCCTGTTACTGACCAGAGTGTGTTGTTACTGACCAGAGTGTGTTGTTACTGACCAGTGTGTTGTTATTGACCACAGAACATTGACCAGGGAGAATTGTTATTGCCCACAGAGCATTGTTATTAGCCAGAGAGCATTGTTATTGGCCAGAGAGCATTGTTATTGGCCAGGGAGCATTGTTATTAAATGATAAATCCCCTTCGTAACTTGCAAATAACATTAATTGAATTATAAGCTGTGAAATGAGAGTTTATGTTAAGGAATTAGTTAATGAGGTAACTGGTTAATTTTAGAGGTGGTCAATGTTTTAAGAGGTTAAATTATCCCAGGTTAATGCCACTGTTTTAAAAAGGTGTTACCTGGTGATTAGACACCCTAGTTTATTTTACCTGGTGATTAGACACCCTAGTTTATTTTACCTGGTGATTAGACACCCTAGTTTATTTTACCTGGTGATTAGACACCCTAGTTTATTTTACATAATTAGATTAAGTTAGGTTAAGCTAGACTAGATTTTGGTTAGATTAGGTTAAGGTTAGGATAGGTTAATGTTAATTTAGGTTAGATTAGTTAAGTTTTGGTTAGGTTAGGTTATGACCTACTGTTTATTTACTGTATACCAACACCTCAATATTCTCCTCAAGTCTTACCTCACACCACACCCTCACCACACCCTCACCCCTCACCACACCCTCACCACACCCTCACCACACCCTCACCCCTCACCACACCCTCACTACACCCTCACCCCTCACCACACCCTCACCACACCCTCACCCCTCACCCCTCACCACACCCTCACCACACCCTCACCACACCCTACACCACACCATATACCATACTATACTCGGTTTCCTCTCTTTCCACGCATCCATATTTTGAAAGGTAAATATTCATTGTGTTCTCAGTTAAATGGTTTCTGGACGGCTTGTTTGTATTACGTTTGTTTATTTCGTTTTTATCCTTTGTTTATTTTCTCGTATTTTAAGTTATTATTATTTTTTGTTTTTTGTCGTTGATTTTTTATTTTATTTGCTTTTTTAAAATTCGCTGGTTTGTGTTGTTGTTATTGCATGTGTTTGTTGCATTTTGTTGTAGGTTTAAGTTTTTCTGTTGTAGTTGTTGTGTTTGGTGTTGTAAGGACGTGTGTGTGTGTGTGTGTGTGTGTGTGTGTGTGTGTGTGTGTGTGTGTGTGTGTGTGTGTGTGTGTGTGTGTGTGTGTGTGTGTGTGTGTGTGTTTTGTGGGGGTAATGTGTGTGTGGGGGGGAGGTTGTACGTAATAATAATAATAAACGGTTTATTAATAGAGTTTCAGCCGGTGGCATAAAATATACAGACTTGCATTTGATTTAGACATAATGATATGCGTTGAATACATTTACAGGGCTGTAAAGTACAGGAGTTGCTTTAACAATAGATGGGATGGTGCTGCTCTTATATCTATCAGTGCGGGCTCTTATGGGCTGTATGTATGTATGTATGTATGTATGTATGTATGTATGTATGTATGTGTAGTTAGACATATAAGATAGTGTAGGTATACAGTACAGCATGTATATAGGCAATACAGGTATATAAACAGTGTATACATAGACAGAGGCAGTTATTTCACCTGATGGCTACCTGAGGGGTTAGGTTAGGTCAGGTAAGGTCAGCATTAGATTTGATAAGATTAATTTAGATTTGGTTAGGTTAGGATTTGGGTGTTAAATCAGGTGAAATGAACCATGGGGGTTAATCTTCAGGTGAACTTGAATAAATCAGTAATTAAATCAAGCTACACACCTGAAGCACCTCCCATCCACACCACAATGTCAGTTAAATCAGTAAAGGCAGAAACAGCTCACAAAACAACCTCAAAATAATTGACTGATTTCTTTTAAGTCAAGTCAGTAAAGGCAGAAACAGCTCACAAAACAACCTCAAAATAATTGACTGATTTCTTTTAAGTCAAGTCAGTAAAGGCAGAAACAGCTCACAAAACAACCTCAAAATAATTGACTGATTTCTTTTAAGTCAAGTCAGTAAAGGCAGAAACAGCTCACAAAACAACCTCAAAATAATATAATTGACTGATTTCTTTTAAGTCAAGTCAGTAAAGGCAGAAGCAGCTCACAAAACAACCTCAAAATAATATAATTGACTAATTTCTTTTAAGTCAAGTCAGTAAAGGCAGGAACAGGACACTACCCTAGGCCATAAAACTAACACCTTCCGTATGTTGCAGGTCATACACCCTGTTTACCAGACTTACATGGAAAAGCATTTGAGGGAGGCGGCAGAACAGGCGGCCCAACAAGCCCTCACCAGCACGCTGACCAATGGCAAGGTCAAGTCATCATGATCCACCAATCAGCTCCTCTCTCCCCGCCTCAGAACAAGCGTTTCTACCGCCCGTGTTAACTACTTTGCGTTATAACCAGTTTTTTGTTTTTTTTATCGGAACTACGGTAAAAACTTCCAAATAACGAAGTTCTCTCTCTATATAGTTCATTAGTTGGGGGTTTCACATCTAACAGACCCTCGATATAATGGACTTTCATGTCTATAAAGTTCATTAAATGGGGGTTTTACATCTATCAGACCCTTGATATAAGAGACTCCTCCCTATGAAATCCATTATATCGAGGTTTTGCTATATTATAAGGAAATTGTTGTCTAGACGTTCTAAAAAAAATACTATTTTTTGTGATAGTTATAAAAAAAATATCCCCAGTGGTGTTGACAATGAACCTCTTGATATATTAGTGATAATATTTTTGTGTACCATCTTCGGCTGTTGGGGGTGTGGTCAGCTGTTGCGGGTGTGGTCAGCTGTTGAGGGTGTGGTCAGCTGTTTGTGTCACATCCTTGAGACGTTTATAATCTCTTAAGGGCAGTACATTGTAAAGTCTGTCTGGCTTCATTTAATTATTTTTATTTTGATCGATTGTAAGAAAGTTTATTCTGAAGACATTATTATTATTATTATTATTTTTAACTGTGGTATCGTAAAAGAAATACTTGTTCGGAAGATATTATTATTATTATTGTTATGGATAAGCTATTGAAAAAGGGTTAAATGTGGATATTTCATTATCATTGTTATTTTATATTTGAAAAAAAGGTTTTGTGTAAAAAGGTCTCTTCCAGGATGCTTTGTAATTTATTATGCCAACGCTTACAAGTTAGTGTCTGAGGATAATGATGTGGTCGGCAAAATGCTCATTTTTCTTACCCTCGGATAAAATGCATTCTTACCCTTGGACAAAATGCATTCTTACCCTTGGACAAAATGCATTCTTACCCTCGGACAAAATGCATTCTTACCAATGCATTCTCGGATAAAATGCATTCTTACCCTCGGATAAAATGCATTCTTACCCTAGGGCATTGTTACATTCTCGCAAAAAATTCTTACCCTCGGACAAAATGCATTCTTACCCTTGGATAAAATGCATTCTTACCCTCGGATAAAATGCATTCTTACCCTCGGATAAAATGCATTCTTACCCTCGGATAAAATGCATTCTTACCCTTGGACAAAATGCCTCTTACCCTCAGACAAAATGCCTCCTTGTTTTTTTCCTTAAAGTGCCAAATAACTTTCATAATAGTGCAAATAAACTTCTTTCCTGCGATTTCTCTTTGACTTGGAGTAACGATTCGATTTTCTTAATTTCTCTTTGTATTTGTAATTTTAAGGAATCATAAGGTTCTTAAGTCCTGTACAGTATAGATTTGTGCACAAACTCGACAACTTAGACGTGTATGTGGGAGATTCTCGAAGGATTTGTGAGTTCTGGGGTTGATGGTTGGAATGTTTGTAGAATTTCCATGCAGTTCGTTTCACCTGAGGATTGACCACCGTATTGGTGACCTGACCTGACTTACCCTAATGTAACTTGATCTACCCTAATCTAACCTGATGTACCCTACCACTACCACTACCCTACCCTACCACTACCCAACCCTTCCCTTCCCTGCCACTACCCTACCCTACCCTACCCTACCCTACCACTACCTCCATTCCCCAAAAGGCATCAGGGTGGTTAATCATCAGCTGGGGTGGAGAACTGTCTTCGGGCCAACCATAAAAATAAACGTTTGTTTCTCCTCAGTAAACGTCTCGTAAAGCTCCCCTCATAACAACCCGAAGACGCGGAAATAACACGAGATAAATGGAGCCGTTTGCATTGTTATATCGACCGTGTTCGGTATTATTTTTCTCTACGATGTTTTACGGGGCTTTAGATATTTACGGTCAGGTTTTTCACCGACGATAAATAGACCATAAAGGGGGGGTGTCTGTTTCTCTTGTTTATAATAGTGAGTCGTGTGTTTTTTGGGGATTCTCAGTATATTTTATGCATTTTGGAGAAGTTTATCGCTTGTAGGAGGGATTGTGGGGTTGTTTGTTGCGTGTTTAATTCACAACAATAACCACAACATTGTTTATATTATTTTAACTTATAGTCAACTTGTATTCATTATTTTTCTCGCTTTGTCGACGAGTTCATCGCTTATAGACCGGGCTGGTTCTCTGCCTCAACACGAAGCTTCTGTTATTTCATTGATCGTCGAGGAGTTCGTCGCTTCCACACGGGGATGGATCTTCACGACAACGATAATATTATTTTTCCTGCATTTTCGAGAGTTTCGTCCCTTGTAGGAAGGTCCGTTTGTTTACACTCCACGACAACCACAAGATCTTAATATTCACTTAACGGGAAATAGGGGGAAGAAAATGCCATATTATTTAGTGTTATTAAGCCTCATCATTGACTGCCATTATTGTTTACGTTATTTTCCGTGCTTCATACGCCGCCATTCTCATAACCTACCCCACCACCCCCCCTCCCCACCCCTAGGCTGTTAGAGTAATTTGGGTTCCTTAGCGGATAGAGATTATTTTTCTACCAGTGAAATACAATAGGTTTTAAGACGTCGTTGAACGTGTCAAACAACGGATGGAATTGTTGTTCGGTGTTTCTGAGGTCCGTGGTCGTTGATGTGGTTCTGATCTCTGGAGTTGATGGTCGTTGACTCGTAATAGAAGGATGCCCTAAAGATCGACTCGGAATTTCTACTCTCTGATTGGCTGATAGTTAATTACACCTTCCCATCATATCAACTCAAAATTTCTGTTCTTTCTGATTGGCCGATTTTTACACTGTCCTGTCCAATCGACTCAATTTCTGTTCTTTCTGACTGGCTGATAAATAAAATTTCTCCTCTCTGATTGGCCCAATAATTAAACTCCCTCCTCTCTCATTGGCCATTTATTAGCAGAGTTGCCTGAAGTTTTCGTGCTCCGATTGACTGGTGTTTCAACGCATAATCAAATAATACGTTTAATTGGACTGCCGTCGCCACACACAGAGAGTCGTGTGTGTGTGTTGTTGCCAGTTTTTGGTCATGGCAGAAGATTGTGGCCACGATGTCGACTGGGTAAATGAACCGTCAATCTGTCTCTCTCTCTGTCTAATAACAATCTCCCTCTCCAACTCTCAGGCCAATTTCTCTCTCTCTCTCTCTCAGTTCAAAGCACTTAACAGTCTCTCAGTTGCAAGCACTTAACAACACACTTACAATACTCTTAACATTTGGTGCATAATTTTATAAGTAATACAGAGTTTTCTATATATCTTAAGTAACTAAGGCTACTGTGTGGCATCATGTTAACAGGCTATAAATGCGTCTATAGAGTTTACTGACCTACGACACTTATCCTAACATGTTAAAACCATGATTTATTTATATAACTTGTGATCATGTTAAGAGGAGGCTATCGCTGTGTGGAGATTTACTGACCCACGACACTTAACCTAACATGTTAAAGGTATGGTTTATGTATTAACGTACATCATGTTAACAGGCTGTTATTCTCTAGAGATTTATACACCTTCCAGTCTTTCTACTAACAGGTTAAAAATCTTGATTTATTTATTAACTTGGATTATGTGTGAGTTTTTTAGTTTTATTATTACACATGGAGGTTGATGTTGTATATGGGTGATATATCCTGGGGTGTGGTGATGATAAGAGTCAGTTGTGGAAAATATCACGTTACTAACACTAGCTGTTGTTGTAGATATTGTTACTCTAATGATGTACATAGGTGTTAAAACCAGCCGACTTGCGGAGGAAAGCTGTCGGAACGGATTTATTTCAATGGCGTCTTTGATTACTTTAAGGAAATTATTGTAAATTGTGGACTTAAGAACACATCAAAAATCATATGTGAGTGGTGGGTTACAGATTGTGAATGATGATATTTGTAAATTTAGTGTGTGGGTTACCTGAGGATTAGTCCCGTCTGTTTCCTAGGTAGTTTTGGGGGTTAAAATCTTCAGGTGAGCATTTGGGGGTTAAAATCTTCAGGTGAGCATTTGGGGGTTAATCTTTTCAGGTGAGCACTTGGGGGTTAAAATCTTCAGGTGAGCACTTGGGGGTTAATCTTTTCAGGTGAGCCATAAGGGTCAGGTTTATAAATAATGTCGTTCATGAGCTGTAACTACATAACAGATACATAAAAATATATATTTATATATTTTTAGAGTTTGGTAATGAAGTTTGTGAGGAAATAGTTAGAAGGCAGTTTTAAGTTAAAGAATGTTTTGATGTATAAATTTTAGTTATGATTACCATTCATACACAGACATACAGTACATACATAAGGTATTAACGGTACTACACATATACATACAGTACTACACATATACATACAGTACTACACATACATACAAATATACACATGCAGTACACACATATTAGGCAAGAATTAACATTGGAACACAAATACAAAAGGATTTACAGTTTATAGTTAAAAGACCTGGTGCATGATGTTGTAGGTAAGTTCATGTGTTAATGATGGTTGATATTTCTTTTACGTCTTTCTGAAGGAATTATTCTTGTTCGCATCGGAGAAAAGTTTGGTTTATTTAGTTAAATTCTTTCCGTTATTGTTGAGGTAATTCACAGACACACACACAGTTTTATTCAGCACAGACAAACACACAAGATAACTTTATTCTTAACCTTTGCTGTAAAGTTAATATTTTTAACCAGATTTTGGTGTTAAAATTTTAATATCAGGTTTAGTTTTGTGAAGATATTATTTACTAAACTGAGACATCAAATTAACATGGTAGCAGCAGTTAATGTTAAGTGTTTGAGGATTTAATAAGAGTTCAGTCTATAATGTTCAAGGTTTTAACAAGTGCAGTATGTTGAGTAAGATTAATTGCTGCTGATCGCTGTAACTTGAAGCAGTTTTAGGAAAAAGCTGTGTTGTTATGATACAGTCCCTTTGAATTTGTTACTTTTGTCCTCTTCACCGCTGATCGTCTCGTTAGTCGTAGCAACAGCCTACGTTGTGTTCATTGTTCCTCAGTAGAACATTATGATGCCTGAATCTCCTTAACAGGTAACTTGTTGCTTGTACCTTACCTGCCTGGGTGTTGGTGAGCTCTCCAGGTACCTCCTTACCTGCTGTAGGTATTGAAGCAGCCAGGAACAGTTTGATATGAGACAACTTGTTGACTGTATGTATCCCTTTAACTCTTGTGTTGCATCAGGATCACAGTCAGGTGGCCATTAGGCAGCTTCATCCATACAGTTAACAGTCTAGGAACACTTACCATCAGTCCCAGTCTTACATCAATATTAGTTTTAAAAAGATTCCCGATGTCTATTTTCAGTTTTTTACAGTCACTCAGAAGAGAAGAAATGTGGCCTAGTTTTGTGGCGGCCATTTGAAGTTGTAACTCGAAGGGGAGAGTTACACGATGGATGCATTACCAGTTGAGGGAGTTTTGTGTTCAGTAATGTGAGGTTTGGAGTATTTGAGGGTCAGTGTTGGTAACTCTTGTGGTTGTATTCCTTCAGGGCAGTTGACTTGGGATGGATGCTTGAGTTTATTAGTTTGTCAATACACACACATACACACAGTACAGTATATACACACAATACATACACTCAAATACACACACAACACAAATTACACCCCCACATACAAAACACACACCACCCACACAACACACATCACCCACACAACACACACCACCCACACAACACACACCACCCACAACATGCCACCCACACAAAATACACCACCCACACACATTACATACAATCAAACACTCAAACACACACACATTACATATACTCAAACACACACACATAACACACTTTACATACACTCAAACACACACACACACTTTACATACACTCAAACACACACACACTTTACATACACTCAAACTCACACACAACTCACATTACATACATACACTCAAATACACACAACACGCATTACATACA